GGTGCTAAGATGCACATTTTTTTGCAACTTAGGGATGCATCTTACAGGAAACTGTCAATTTTATTGACAGAATTTTTTCTTAATGGTGTATTAAAAAAAGTATTTTCAAAAGTATCTTAGATTACATGAAACGGGGACTCATCAATATCATTAAGGTTGCAGTTCAAACCCTGCCTTCTCTGACAGGCTTCCTGAAACACCAATCTAAGGTGACCCATCCCTCATCCTGCCTTCTCCCCACTTCCTGATCACATCTCTGTACAAACCATGGCTCTTGTATTCACTGCTATGCCTAGAGCAGGACTGAACATCATTCCAGGTACAGCAGGTTCTCAATAAATGACTATGGACTGAACAAAAGTTTCCATTTACTAAGCCACTACTACACATCAGACTCTGAACTAAATGCTTTTCACAGAAAAAAAAAAAATCTCCTTTATTCCTAGCAATTGAGAGGTCTTATTCTCGACTTGGAAGATGGGGCAGCAGGTGAAGTGGAGAAACCAGGACTAGATGTCAGCTCAGCCTGACTTCAAGTCCAGACACATCAGCGCCATGCTATACTCGGAATCACATACAAAGCCTGGAAACAGTTCTGATTCAGTGACTGGTCCACAGACGTAAGACAAGATCCCCGAAGCTACAGAGAGGAATAAAACGGTCCCCGCAACCTTGAAAGGTAACGTGTGTCCATTGGGGATCACTACATTTCTCTGTCCTACTTGAGTCACATATAAAGTCCTGTGTTAGCACAGAGATTCAGGGACCCATGTTTCTCCCCAGGAAGATCAGAAAGAGTTAAACTCTGTATGGAAGAATCCCACCTTTGGTGAGAGACAGCACAGCCCATCTAGGGCTCTGCGAGCCATCTTGGATGAGAGGGCCACAGAGTATACATGCGAAGGTACTAGGAGAAAATAGAACACAAGGGCCTTGGCTGCCATCCTGGTGGGTGTGAACTTTATTTCATGTTATCAGTGAGCTTCATCAGTGACCTGCTTCTTTGCGGAATTTATTACATCCCAGCTGAACTGCTCTGCCTGTTCCATACCTCACTCAAGACTGGATGTTGAAATCTGGTGCTGAGAATCCTGTCAACTGATCACTGTCTAACAGAGACTTCTAAGCCGAGTGAAAAGAGCAAATAAAGAAGGGTGACTGGAAAAAAAATATTAACATAGGAGATTTGATTATAAGCCAGTCTACAGCCAGACAGCTTAGATAGAGCCTATGGCATTTGTCATTTTGGGAATGATAGTTCAAACAGAATATTTCATTTAGAACAGAAGTGGAAAACAATGGCTGTCATAGATTTTTTTTTTTCCTTTTTTGGTTTACTAACATTTATTTAGGTTTCCAGTGAAAAAGCTTATCCTGTATGGCTTTCAAGCAAAGGCTGGTTTTTAAATATTTAAAGTTTAACCAGGCTTATGTAAACAACCAGTCCCCCCTTCTACAAATCAAAGAATATACAATGGGGATACACATGGACCACTAAGCCTGAAACACTATCTGGCTCTTTACAGGAAAAGGTCCACCACCCCATGATCTAGAACTTCTCCTCCTCCTCTCATCCATCTTTATTCAGACTCAAGTCATTTAAGTCAGTGTTTCACGTGACTGGACACAGAGTGGACAATGGTAAGATCTATTTGCCACTTCAAACATTAGAGCCAGTTGAATGGTGTAATGACATTGATTTACTGATTCCTTTTATGAGAATTCTAAATCTCAATCATTATTACACTCACACCCATTTCAACTTTGATATTTTAAACAGATGTCCTTCTCACACTTAAGGGCTTGCTAGCTTTTGGCCAAATGCTGCAGTGGTTTGATCTTCCTAATGCTGGTGATAAGCGGTTTCTACAGGCTCGGCAGCACCCTGGTCATTAAAGCTTACCCAAACAGCTTTCTTAATTAAAGACATGGGTTTAGTACATCCAGTGGGCGTAGCTGGAACCTTTGTAAAATTTAGCCTAACATTAACACTCCTCAAGTTGCCCTTCCTCTGGGTTTATATGGGAAGGGGAAAAGCAGACGAGAGTTAGGGACTTTTTGTATCCATGAATCCAGCCTACTTTTGCTTTCCATCAAACAGTAATTCAGTATTTACCAAAAGGAGATGTTTAAGGTTGGAAATTTTTACAAGCCTTGCATCTCAGCAGAGAAACATTTTTGGGTACTTTTGTGTATACAGATTGAAAAGATATTCCAATATGACTCGATTATGGAAACTATGCTAGACTGACCAGCACCTCCTTATCCCTAGGATGGGGATCACTCAGGCATCCATGAAGCTGTTCCACAGCATCTGGATGACCTGGGGCCTAGTTACTCTGACAGCAAACCCAGGCCCCCTTGCTGGGATGGCCAGCCTATATTTCCATCATCTCTGCTAAAGCATCTGTGCTTTTCATCAGCACAAGCAACATGAAGCAGAGCATGTAGTCCTCTCATAATTACTTGAAAGCGGGCCCTGCAGTCAGTAAGTTCTCCTTGGCACAGACATCCATGGCCCTGAATGCCCAAATGGTTTGAAGTCAGCTCTTCATTTTATAAAGCAAGATTGATGTACATTGTGAAGAAACACTAATACTTGAGAAGCCTGCCACACACGAGTACTAGCTTGCTTAGGGTCTTTGTCTATAAAATATTTCTATTCCCATTCCTACTTAAAACATGAATATTTTGATTTGGAATCCATGTTCTTTTTAGGTCAAAAGAGGCAAGGGACTTTTTTTTTTCTTTCCTGAAACAAAGAATCATTACATTTAATTTAAAATATGCCCCCATGCCATCACCATTTCTAGGTCGTACAGTTCCGGACCAAGAGACAGGAACACGAGTTAAATCACAGCTCTTCCAGTTGAGAGCTGTGTAATCACCAGGAAAATCACCCACTCGTGGGACTTGGTTTATCAACAGCAGTCATCTTAGAAGCATACAATGTGTCCACCACTTAACTATAGTACCACCTAAGAAGGAAGAAGGCTTACCATTTCCTAAATTGACAGAGGAAGGAATGAGCAAAGGTCAGATAATCCAGAGAGAATGACCAACTATGACTGTTACAGTTTCTCAATTATAAAAGAATCTACATCTATAGAATTTCCTTAGCGGGATCAAGGTCAAAGTGCTATTGAGCAAAGGATACACAGGTCAACTTAGTTTCTGAGCACTTGTTCTTAAACACCAGTACTTTCCCAAATCTTTAAGATGTAGGGGCTGGGCTAGATCTTCCAAGAGCCATTTTAGTTTCACTATTCCATGGATATAATTTGCCTGCAGGAGGATTCAAAGATGGCAACTGGGTGAAAGATCAGCTATTCACCGGGAAAGGTGGGGGGTTAAAGAAATCTGTGAAAAGTGGACTGCAGCCTTGAAGAATCAGAGCGTGGATCCAGGAATCGCTTCCAGTTTACTAAGGGCTCAAAAGATTTAGTGCTGCTCAAGCATTTCCCACATTTATGTGTCAGACTACAAATCATTAAATCTTAATTAAGTCACTTAATAAAAACCATAGCCTCAAAGGAGGAGAACAAAACAGTATTGGTTATTCTTGCTTTTGAAAATTTACACTGCCATTTCTTCTTGATTTGTTAAAAAGGTGACCATTGAACCTTTTTGAAGCACAGATTGAGTCTCCCAGGGAAATATTTGTTTGCATTTGGTACCGTCATCCATATTAAAGTCACTGAAGGAAGCCGGTGCCCATTGTGAAGATGGAGATAAGCAGGAAAGAACCATCAAGGGAAGCGGGATTCAGGCATGGATCTGACTGCTAGGTAGCTGTTTCTCACTGTGAAAGCTTCAGGGAGCAGCTCCACCAGGAAAAAGGAAGGTCACGAGGTGACAGCTGTTGATGACCTAATGAGGATGGGACCAAAGAGGGGAGAGAACTCTGGGGAAATGTTTCTTCAGGTGGCTTGGCAGCTCAGACACAGCCTTCAAATAGGACTAAGAGCAACGTGAGGAACTGGAAAGTCAGACTCAAGGATGGTAAAGGACCCTAATACCAAACCATCCCTTTTGGATCTAAGTCTTAAATATAGTAGACCAAGTAAGTACTGCTTACTGGGGAGGGGCGGCAAGGAGTGAGCTTGAAACTTCAGAAACTGCCTGGTTTCTCTAAATCATTTCTTAAGGGAGGAAGCCAAGGCCACCCGAGGTGGAGCCGTTTGCTCCGGTCTGACTTGGCAAAGAGGAAATTAGGATGGAGTTTCTTACTCCCAGACACGATGGGCCTGGAAATGTTTTAATAGTGTTTAATCAAAATCCAAAGCCTGTGTAAATTCTTTAAAAGTATGCCAACCACAGAAATCGAGCAGCCCGACGCTGATTTTAACACTTGATCACTATTTTTATGGCACTACGCAATCTATCTAGGCCTGGGGTTCTGTTCGAAGACGAATCTGACCCAGAGTCAACATGCTGGTCTCCTGGTTTAAATACGAAACACAAGCAAGTTCTGTATCCAGTCGTCGGAAAACCCCCAAACCACTCTCTCTCTGTGACTGACCTTGTCTTGGGTGATGCTGACTGCAAACAGCCTTCCCCCAGACTCCCCCTCTACAATTTCAAAAGTGTGTGCAGTAGCCGTGGCCACCTGAGGGTGGTACAAAGGGAGGGTTAAGGACCAGAACTTAGTGAAATACCGGCCCTACAAGCAAGACTCCACCGGAGCATTTAAAAAGCCATCCACCTCATTGTTCGCCGTAAGCGCAATGAAATGTCACGGCTTAACGACTTTCCCCAAGTCCTTAGGCTTCTGGTTTAACAACTAGACTCTCACTAGAGGACACAAAGGCTGGGAGAGCGGGCTGCGGGCGGGCATCACCGCAAACCCCGGCGGTTCTCCGAGACCAGGACCGTCGACAAAGTCCCCGTGGACCAGGGGTTACATTGATCGCCATGATGGACCGGCCACCGGCTGCGACCCCAAGCCCTCCTGCACCCCCCGCCCCAGGAAATATCTGCAGAGCTGGGGCGCCGAGGCTCTATCTACAAAGGCTGAGACCCTCCAAACCAAACGCGCCACAGAGCCGGGGCCTCCGACTCCCACCGCGGTCCACCGTCCGGGGGGCCAGGAGCGGGTACCCGCGGCGGGAGCGGACCGAGGGCGGAGGGTGCTCGGGTCCCGTTCTCGGACTGTCCCGTTTGAGTTGCAGGGTTGACTTGGTAACAGTCCCGAGCGCACTGAGGAATCTCTTCTCCAAGGAGCGAACGCTCCGGCCCCCGCGGCTGCGGATGGAGGGCGGGGAGCACCGCGGCTCGGGGCCGGACCCCTGGAGTCGGGCGGTGGCGGCCGCGGGTCGCCCCCTCCAGGCGGCGGTGGGCAGCGGCGGCCGGGGCCGCGGCGGCGGGGCGCTCCCCCAACCCCGTTGGCCCCCATCCGGGAGGGAGAGCGCGGGGAACAGGAACCCGGCACCCCGGTCCGCTCGCCTCCACCTGCGGATCTGGGGCGTCCCCCGGGTCCCCTTCCCGTCCCTCCCATCCTGGCGTTCCCGGAGGCGCGGTCCCATTCCTGGAAAAGGAGCCGGTGTCCAGCGAAAGGGACACTTACCCGGGGAGGGCCGGCTGCCGGCGCGGGCCCCGCTCGCAGGTCGGCCAGGGGAAGGTGCGGCTGCGCTGCGCCGGCTGCGGCGCCAGCCGAGCGCCCTGCACCGCCGCCCGGCTCGGACTTCCTCTTCCTCGCGCTCGGCCCCGCCGCTCGGCCGCGCTCCCCGCTCGCCGGCCGCGCCCCGACCCGCCCCTCCCGGCGCAGGGTTGCGGGCCTCGTCGCCGCGAGCAGCGGATCTTGGGTCCCTCCTCCCCTCGGCCCGGGCGAGCACGGTGGGGAGGAGCGGGAGAAAGAGAAAGAGATTAAGCACTTGGACTTGTCTCTGGAGGGTAGCCAAACAGAGCAGTCAAATTACAGCCCCTGGGGGGAAAAAATTACCAAAAAAAAAAAAAAAAAAAAATCCCTGCTACTGTTTTCGCAGACACATCACTTTTCTTCATTTTCCGGGATCCTCAGGTTTAGCTTTCTTTAGAACGTGATACTTTGCATATGATTTTGTAAAAAAAAAAAAAAAAAAAAAAGTACCCTAAATAATTCTTTTAGTTAGACATTTTAGTATTAACACAGAAGCTCTGGGGCAATATTATGGACTGAGGGAGGAAGCTTGCTCTTTTTCAGGTGTCATTACTCTAATCACCTCAGTTAATGTACCAACTAACCTTCGCTTAGAGAAAGTAAAAGTGAAAAAAGAGGCCAAGAAGACTAACCTTTGAAATAACGAGAAAGGTGTTAAAGGCTCCAGCTGTGTGTGTAGTGAGATGATGACTTGAGTCGAGGGTGCCTAAGGTGACCGTCAAAGGCAAGCAGTGATTTCCCAACACTCATTTCCTTTTCAAGGCAGCCGTGTGTATTTGCCTGTTGAGTCCATTAGATTTGTAAGAAGGCACTCTTACATGATTTGTTCACAGAATTTCAGTTTTAGCAGTTAGAAGCTGTGTGACCTTAAGAAAATTATGTGACCTCTCTGTGCCTCAGTTTCCTCATCTGTAAAATGGGGATAATGAGGATAGTGCCTACCTCACAGAGTTGCTTCTTGTGATTTCAATAAGGCCAATTTCCAGGAAGGGTTTAGGAGGTTCCTGGCACACTTGCTGGATAAATGTTAGCTATTATTGTTGATTTCCCCCTTTTATCTGCTCTGATGCGTGTATAGAAATTACCATAAAGATTTGAAATAAAATAAGAGCCGCAGAGCCACACAGTGTCACAGTTCTTTCCCTACAACGTGCACTTTATATTCTGTTTTACAATTTATTTTGTCTTCACAACTGACTTGTATTATCTCAAGCCATGAGGCTGGGTTATGCTCCGGGTACACTTACCACGGAAAATTTGCAGTGCAACTCAAACAGATTTTTGCCATCTTCAAAGCACTGCTTCAGTTGATCTTGCAGTACCCTTGTTACGTTGGCAGGACAGGTGTTAGTGTCCTTTCACAGGATATGGAGACTCGGCAGCCTGAATCAGACCCTCTCTAGCGCCAGGAGCTCACACAAAACCCCACCTGTTCGCCAGTCTACCTATGCTCTTACTTTCCGTGAAGTGAGCAGGAGCGCCTTACCATACAGCATGGACCTCATTCATGGTCTTTATCAATCCTCTGAGTTAGTACTGGCCTTCATTCAACAACCTTAGGTTCAAAGAGCATAACTGATGACCATGGTAGTGTCTGACAGATGGGGTTTGGGGACAGCTTGGAGAAGAAGGGAGGAGAAGCAGGCTTTCCTGGTTCTTTCAAATGCTTTCTCTGCTACCCTCTCCCTGGCCCACAGAGTCACATTCTTTCTTAGCACAGATGACTTTGAGTAAAGCTATTAGTGAAGCGGTGTGACCATCAGCTGCAGACTTTGCCACTTGCTAGCTGCAGATAACAATTTTGAACTTTGGTTCCTTATCTGTGTAATGGTTATTATATTTCCTGTCCAGACCTCTTCATTTCACCTCAGTTTATTAATAAGGTAGGAGGTGGCTCCTGGAAACAGGATTGTGAAATCTCTTTTGTTGATGCTGTGTGCCAAACGTAGCATTAGGCACCTAACCCACATTATCACTCCTGATTTCCAAGTAAGCGTACTCTGCCCTTCAGGTTATTAGCAAGTGGCCTTGAAATCACCTGGTCTGACATTTCATGTATCTAGTTTATCATATGCGCCCAGCACTCAAGCTTAGTTCCTAATTCACAGTTGATATGAAATGTTCAGTGGGTGGATGGATGGATGAAATGATAACATAAGAGTTGTGAAAATGCTATTATACAATGTAACATTCCATGTTGTAATATACTACTCTCCCCCTTTGAGGAAAAGAATCCAATGGAATCCAAAGAATGGCTTTCTAATGATGTATTCGGTATCAGGAAAATTTTTTTGGTGAAAGATCTTCCTAACGTTATTACTGATAGTCCAGGTCAAATAAGAGAAACAGAAACCTCTTAAAGTATTTATAAAGAGAGACTTTTATGCAGGGGATTGTCTCCATAAGTGATGGAAGAATCAAGAATTCAACAGGACACAGTGAGGTAGTCCAGAAATTAATAAGAACTGAAAGTCACTATCACCTCTGGCAGGAGGGGCAGGGAGGGGATATACTACAGATGGAAGCTGTCTGTGGGAGGCTGAGAAACAGCCACTGTCTTACACCCTGGCAGGGATAGGGGAAATATCTGGCTTCTCCCTTCCTTCACGCTCCAGTCCAATACCTCGGATTGGATGAACCAAGCTGACCGGGAACTTGGAACACTCAGTTTGCAGGGGCTCCCCCACGGCCACCCCTGCAATCCTGTGACATTGAGCAGGAAAAGGGTGAGAAGAATCTGAAGGCAACCAACACAGACCTAGTGGATCCCTCAAGTCATACCCTTTTCTCTCTCCAATAAAATCGAGTCTAGAAGAAATATTTTTGCTTTTTCAGATCACTGAGTGTCTCCTATGGCATTTCATTCATCCCTCATACAAACCCAGGGACATAAACCCTATAACCCCTAAGTTACATACAAGGTCACAGTCATTTAGGAAGTTTTAGTGACTCGATCAAGGCCACACTGTACGTGGTGGAACGGCTTACAAACATGGGCAGGGCTCTGCATTCTGGTTCTCCATTTGTCCCACTAACCCAGCTGATTCTAATGAAAAGCTGTGAGACCAGAGTCTCCTATAGAGTCACATTTCAGGGTCACTGATCCATGCACATGTGGGAGTTAATGTTGGCAAAACTTATAGAGTTAAAAGGCTGGATCACGCCTCACTTTCATTTTATGACTTTGGGTGACAACTTTTATGGTCCTTGTGATGGCTGCACTGGATTTATGATCACCCAAGATCAGAAATATCCTATCCACTGGGTTACAGGAACACCTCGGGAAAAAACACAGGTAGCATTTATCCTTTTTGATTTTTAAAACTATTCCTATTTCAAATGTGGTTTGAAAAAGATCTAGAACATTTTGACTTTGTTAAAGCATTTGAGATAAGAGAAGGGACTTATGGCAGAGTCTCCTGTAGGGAAGACAGCAAACCAAGAATATCAGCAAGTGTGTCTTCAAGATCTCTCCAGCTAGGAGTGGTGATCAGAGTCAGTACTGGCACTCCTGTCTCTCAAGCCTCTAATCAGCTAACTTAAAAATCAAGGCACTATACTAACTTCAAAGAGTGAAAGAGAAAATAAGAAATGTTCACAGTTATTAGTACCTAGCTTAGTTGGGCTTAAAAGTAGGTAGAGGAATTTGAAATCCCTAGAAATTCTGATATGTCAGAATATCTTCATTGCTGGTTTGCAACACAGTGCCTAAATTTCCCCTTGTGATTACTAAGTTGCTATGTCATATTCTACCCTTTTGCAACCCTGTGTACTGTAGCCTCCAGGCTCCTCTGTCCATGGGATTTCCCAGGCAAGAATCCTGGAGTGGGTTACCATTTTTTTTTTCCCAGGGGAATCTTCCTGACCCGGGTATCAAACCTGCATTTCCTGTATTGCGGGCAGATTCTTTACCACTGAACCGCCAGAAAAGCCCCAAATTTCCCTTTACTAGTAGCCTAGTAGGTTAAGATCTGGTGTCTAGGAGGAAAGTGTAAATTCATTACTTATCAGGAATAATAAATATAGTGGATAATTATCCCACCTACTATTGGACTAGCATAATGAGCTCATCGGATTCCTTAAACATGATTGTCTGCTGCTAAAGAGGCCCCTGAAGAGCAGGAAGACCTCAGATACTAGCAATGGCAAGAAGACAGCAAAGAAGCATCAAGTGATGCAAAAAACATGACAGAAATGTGCCAGGATAACAGACACATGTGATAGTAAGAACTGTAAATAGCTCATAGCCACCATCACAATTTTATCTGTTCCTTCAATTGCCTCAACTCAGTTCAGTTCAGTTGCTCAGTCGTGTCTGACTCTTTGCGACCCCATGGACTGCAGCATCTTAGGCCTCCCTGTCCATCACAAACTCCTGGAGTTTACTCAAACTCATGTCCATATGAGTTTGAGGCTTCAAACTCATATGAGTTTGAGGCTTCACCTCCATATGAGCTATGAGGCTTCCCTCATAGCTCAGTTGATAAAGAATCTGTCTGCGATGCGGGAGACCTGGGTTCAATCCCTGGGTTGGGAAGATTCCCCTGGAGAAGGGAAAGGCTACCCACTCCAGTATTCTGGCCTGGAGAATTCCATGGACTGTATGGTCCATGGGGTCACAAAGAGTCGGACACGACTGAGCGACCTTCACTTTCACTTTCATGACCATTGAGTCGGTGATGCCATCCAGCCATCTCATCCTCTGTCATCTCCTACTCCTCCCACCTTCAATCTTTCCCAGCATCAGGGTGTTTTCAAATGAGTCAGCTCTTTGCATCAGGTGGCCAAAGTAGTGGAGTTTCAGCTTCAGCATCAATCCTTCCAATGAATAATCAGGATTTATTTCCTTTAGGATTGACTGATTTGATCTCCTTGCAGTCCAAGAGACTCTCAAGAGTCTTCTCTAACACCACAGTTCAAAAGCATCAATTCTTCAGCACTCAGCTTTCTTTCTAGTCCAACTGTTACATCCATACATGACTATTGGACAAACCATAGCCTTGACTAGATGGACCTTTGTTGACAAAGTAATATCTCTGCTTTTTAATATGCTGTCTAGGTTGGTCATAACTTTTCTTCCAAGGAGTAAGTGAATTTTAATTTCATGGCTGCCGTCACCATCTGCAGTGATTTTGGAGCCCATTGCCTAAGCATTCTCAATTTTGATCTATATAGTAAAGTAAGATGTATGTGTACATGTTTGGTAAATATTGATATTTGCAGAAAAAAGTTAACCAAAGCCAATAT